CATGCCACTGGGCAAATTCCTAGGACTTACCTTAAAGTCAAGCAGCCAGCTTCTCTCCACAGGATTTTAGTGTATTAGATACCTTGAAAAGTTCAGTATATTTACTCAATTTATTTAAAATGTTCTCCTAATGGTTCTGAAATACATTTTTAAGCAAAAAGGAACCAAAGGTCTCTTTAGGTGAAGTTACAGTAATGTTTGTTACATGAAATCAAACTTCCTTCCAAAATATTTGATTAGTCCCTTTTGAACACAAATGCCTACAGTATTAATTTTATTTTAAAAACAAAAACAACCAGCATATAATAAAAAAATCTTATAATCCATGATCCATGCTTTCTGATACAGGTAATGTAAAATAAATGATATAATCTACAAAACAATGACAAATGAAAGACTTGGAAAAGGTTATGGTTTGACAAGGTAACATTTTTGAAATCTGGACACCAATCAAATTGATGTAACTATTGGTGATGCAACACTCTCTGACACTAAAGTCTTTACCACTGTCTAAAACATATAGAAGAGCCTATTGTGATTGCTTAATGTCAGCTTTTGTTCATAAGCTCTTTCATAAAATTGAAACCAGGAAAACGATTTAAAGCAGTTCAATTTGTCTATTTACCTTAATCTTTAACTATTCCCATATGTCCGGCTACATGATGTATGACTCTTCATAAACCAATTTTTCAAAGATATACATGACAGAAAAAAGTCAGGCTCCTAACCTTTTATGTGCTGAACTTTTACAGAGCTCTAGAAAACAAAATGCTTTTAGGTTTCAGAAAAGGGAAAAAAATGAGAGAGAAAGATTATTTTCCTTTTCTCTCTTCTTAGTACATATTTGCATCAGTGAAAGTAGAGCATGCACTCATTTCTAAGTATGTGAAAAGTTCTTCTGGAGGTCTCATTCACACGCACCAATGTAAAAGTCTTTGTTTACAAGTACTACGTCATAAATGAGGATCTATAAATTAGGATCATTAAACCCTAACAGGTTCCATAGTTGAGGCAGGAATATTGTGCTAGGTATAATATCACTCAACAAAGGGGAGTAGAAAAAAAGAAATGCAGATTAGGGATTCCTCAGCACAAGGAGCCTGAATCATAATCATAGCAGAACTGCTTTAGCTTCAGTCTTAGAAAAAAGCAATACTCATAACAATAATTTAGCCAGAATTGAAATAGAATGTTCTGATTATTTTTAAAATATTACAAGATCATATAAACTTTTAATTTATTTACATGTCTTTATAAAGATAAAAACAAAGGGAAAATCCAGCATTTTGTTCATTCATGTTAAAAGATATTTGCTGGGCACGTATTTTGTGCTCGTTGCTGGATAAACAACTATGAACAGGACAAATTCACAGCCCTGTCCTCCTGGAACCTACTTAATTGTAAACCAGAGAACCAGCTTAAGGAGTATTGCTATCAGGTTATGATTATGTGACAGTGTACGAGTGAAATTTTTCTAGTACTTTTAGTCCTTATACCCCCTTCAGCTCAGTCCTTATGCAAAGTTTGCATCAGGTCAGTCTTTATGCAAATTTTGTTCTGTAGGCTGTGTTATTTTCAATGTACCCTGTAATTTCTCTGTTGGTTTATCCAAATTTAAAAATGTAGTCTTCTCTCATTAAAAAAAAAAAGGCACAAAAATGTAGAATGCAGAACAGAGAGAGAGAGTTAGCATTTGTTACACATCTAACTATGGGCCTAGCCCAAATCCAGGCACCTTGCATATGTTACATACAGATGTTTTCATAAGATGCAAGTATAAACATTTGTACTGTGAATATTTACATCTTTCATAAGATTAAGATCAGACTTTATAGATTAGCATAGTCTTCATCTTAAAATAGAAGAAATTGTAACAGAAAAACCAATGATTAGTTACAACTAACTCTTATTTCAGTATGTGGATCAGTTAACTTGTATTATACCACCATTTCTCCATCTGTAACTAGGTAAACAGCACTTTTCTTATGCAGATTTTGTGAAGAGGTCTTAATGAACCACTGTATTAATTGATAAGCCATAAGATTTAATGCAACTTCCCAAAGTACTTTATATGCTGAAAAAAGGTAAGCCTGTCAACCAATACAGAAAAAAATTAGCATTCAAGTTATTATCACTATCAAGCACTTTCAAAATCTAACATATAAAAATTGCATGATAAAAATCAATGAGATACTGTCTAAAGCTCATCAGAAAATTTTATTCACAGCACCAACATCACAGGATGATTTTACGATTTGTCCATGTCATTTGACCAAATAACCGTAAATGCCAAATTGAAATTTTAGTACCAGCTTCAAAAGTGTGTGAAATTTATGTCTTGTTTATTTACTATCCCCAAGTGAAACACTGAACGTATATCTTGACACATATGTATGTATGCACACACATTACTATAATACATTCAAGTATACTTGCAGTTCATAAAAAGCAAATGGAGCTATCTTTATAATTTTGAAAATGAGAAACCTACAACTTCCAAAATAGGTGTTAAGATTCATCTGATGTCATGTTATTTTAATGTACATTCTCAATTTATTAAAGCTCTGCAAAGGAACTCTGAGTAAATGAAGATAAGAAATCAATATAAACCTAAGAATATTCCAATTTCTGTTATTTCTTTTTTCTTTTAGTAGGAATTCTAATTCCTAATCTTACTCCAACTTCACACTAACAAAAAAATTGTCATCTTACAGCAATTTGGAATAACTACAAAAATGAAACCACTTAACAATTAGAAAATGTAAAATTGAAAATATGTGTTTAAATAAAAATTGCCAGTTTAAATACTGGCAATTCTCAGAATGTAGGAAAAAGCAAACACATTTGTGTGACATTAGGTAAATGGCTCTAATCTGTTTACTTAGATATCTTGCTACTTATCTTGTTCTACTTATCAGTTCTCACTGATGAAATACAGGAAAAAATGTATAGAAATCAGATAGACATCACAAAGGTGTGTTTATGTGTGACTATTTGCTGCTTGATAATCAGATTATAGAAGGGTGAAATAGATGAATTATACATATAAAAATAGAAATATTTGTATGTAACTTTAAATTTTTTTAATTATTTTATTAAATTATTTTTAAAGTAAAATAATTTTAGATCCACTTAAAATACAAATGATTAGATTTTGCTATTCTGCTCATTTGAACTAATACATTTAAAACTATTTCAACAAAAAAAAACTCGTCTAAAATAGATTTTTTTTTAATTCCTAGCTTTTTTTCTTAATAGCTCTGTTTAAAACTTCACGTATGCTTGAGAAACTAACTGTGGATCATGTATACAACATAGGGTCAATGCTGTATTGAATTTCCAGACCATTTTCAGACTACCTTCTGGCAATGGAAGCATTTTGACCACTGACACTCCCTATGGGTATATCTGACTATCCTGGTACAATGCACCATTCCCCATTATTGAATCTACAACAAACTGCTGTAGGTTATTCATTGATTGAGTGTTTAAGTATATTCTTTAGGAGCAAATAGAGAACTAATCTGTAAGCAATCACATAAAATAATAATTTTAAAAAGCAGAATTTCCGTGTCAAAGATGCTTCAAGCTATAGCACTTAATTATGTGCATTCTTTGATTATATTGTGTCACATTCAATAAAGATATATAGGAATTCTATTTCTTTATATCACCCTAGATTCTTCTCAGTGCTTCATTGTACCATGCAAGAGAGTTAAGAAAGCACCTGCCAAACCAACCACACCAATTTAAAGCACATCTACTCTCTTTTTATACTTATATTTTGCGGGGGAGGCCTGAATCAATCACAATATTCACCAGAATGTTTATTTAACCAGTAAAGATACAGGCAGTGATTCTATATTTTCCAATGCCTGTAAAACTAAATATCAGGTAAACTGTTTCCAGCCTCGACATATACATAGGTGCTTGAGTCTTCATTCATCTTATCTAGACTGTATTTTAAGAATAAGCTTAACGACCACTCACTCAGTCTTCTTAAACAATGCAGAACCTGAGAGTGTGTGGTGGCATGTGTGAGAGAGCAGACAGCTCTCCATCCCTTCACAGGGTCCCTGTGTCAGTGTGTATTCAGGACAGCTTTCTAACATGAAATCAGCTCAGCTGCAGTGTCGATTTCAGAGGGTTCTGAGAGAGGCAGAAAGGGAGAATGCTTCAACTCCTTAAAATGCATTTGCTATTTCTCTTCTCTGAAAGCCTGAATGTATTTTCTGATTTTTGCAAAGAAATTACTTTCGAGAATACGTCTGCCATACCAAACTGATTTCTTTTGGTTTGCATTAGCTTGGTAGGTTTTGAATGTTTTAACAAATACACATTTAGAAATGTTTAAGAACAGAGAACAACACATGTATGCTTTAAAAATATATATAAAATATGTATACCTTAATACTTGGCATTTTCAAAAAAAGAAAGTAGGAAGAAAAATGGGGTGAAAGCATTTTTTACAATCTTGTGTCACATAACATTTTATCTTATTTTTTAAGTATTTTTTAGTTGCCTAGGTCTTCTTTGTTTTGTTGCGTTCTGTTGTAAGCAAAGTACTCATTGAAGCCACCATTTGTGTAAAGGAGGGAAGAGAAGTTCAAAGTGTTAATATCAATAAACATAAAAATGAACATTTTATCTGGATTATTTTTCTGAAATGCAGCTGTAGCACTGCTTTGATGTCCATGCTTTTTATTTACTGAATTATTTTCATTTTAATGGCAGCATAGAAGGCATATGGAAGAAGATGTCACTTTGCAGCCTTACTAATATAAGAGTTCAGTGAAACCTGGAGTTTATTCCAGCTAATGAAATGCTTCAGTATTTTGAGAGATTGCTAAATGTGGAAGTAGTTTATTTCTAATAAAACATTTCAGTAATTTTGTTCTTCAAGTGGAAAATAACCAGGGAATAGAAAACAATTTTAAAATACAAGCTAACAAACAACAAAGAAAAGAAAATGCCACGGTCAATGTCACACTCCTACTCACCTCTCTGATCAAGTTTGTGGAGTTCTTCAAGTGTAACAATTAACGATCCAAGTCAGTTAATCTGTGTGATTATGCTGTAGGGACTTGAATGAGTAAAAAATGTGGCTCATTCACAAAGGACTTCACACTATAGAGCAAGAACATAGAAAGAAAGTCAGTTCCTTATAAAATAGTAAAGAAAATATACTTATGATGTGGGAGGTTAAAAAATTGGTTTCATACTATTTATAAGCAATGTTTCCTCAAAGTTATGGACAGTTTTTAAAGTCTTTTTTTTTTTTTAAGTGAGAAGTAAGTGTAGTGCAAGTATTTTTTACAATTCTTTTTAAAATAAATATATAAAGTTTAATTTTATTATTTGGTAAGTTATTCTTTTGGTTGTTTAGGTTTTATAATGATACTGACTGACAGTACTTTCAACTTGAGTTCAAGCTTTTACTTACATATAATACTTTTATGGATTTATTACTACATATTTTATATTATTAAAAATGCATATATTTAAGCAAGATACTCACCCAGAAAGGCATTGAGGCACTCTCCAATAATTTTTAATAGAGTCGTTTTGATTCCTCCAAGGAAATGTCTTTCTTCAATTTAAGAAAGACTCTTTCTCTGCTAAAGGTTAACACATAAAAAAAGTCCATTATCAAACAAAATTTTTAAAATTCAGGATACCAAGGAATCCCAACTAACATTGTCCTACCAGAAATTTTTGTTAAAACTATACTTATACACTCATTACACTGTATTATTATCTTTTATATATCTATAGAGAGAGAGAGAGCATCCTTAGACTGTGATAGTTTTAAAGACTTCAATCATTATTTCATTCAAATCCTAATTCAGAGAGGAACATGTAGCAAATTTCCAATCAGTGTTTGTGGATGAAAAAAAAATGGAAGGAAAGAAAAAAAATAAATATCAAAGAAAGGATGGATAGATTTGAATAAGGGAGCTAAATAACAGGAAAACCCAAAAGAAAAGTAGTAATATAAAATGTGTAACAATATTACACTAAACAGCCTTTACTGTCAGACGTGGAACAGCATTAATCCATAATTAAGTAAGACAAATGTAAATATACTTGCTGGACTGATAATTTATCCATTATTAAAAATTTCAGCATCAAATCTGTTGTTAAATAAGGTCAACTTACTTCATTATAATTCCCCGAGGAAACATTTTAGAAAGGTAAATTTATGTTTTTGTTTCAAATAAAGAGATTGCATTCTACCGATCCCTACCTCAGTTCTGAACCATATTGTCATAATTTAGATTTCCTCTGCAACAATCTCCCATAAACCATAAACAAATCACCCCCTGGGAAACCACTGGACAGTAGCAGCCACCAGCAACACACCTAGGCTCAAAATCCTGTGATATAGTTTGGCTGTGTCCCCACCCAAATCTCATCTTGAACTGTAGTCCCCATAATCCCCATGTGTCCTGAGAGGGGCACTGTGGGGGCAATTTAATCATGGGGGCAGTTACTCTCAAGCTGTTCTCATGATATTAGTGAGATTCTCATGAGATCTCATAGTTTTATAAGGGACTTTTCCTCCTTTTGCTGTGTCTTCTCTTTCCTGCCATCATGTGAAGAAGAATGTGCTTGCTTCCCCTTCCATGTTGTAAGTTTCCTGAGGCCACCCCAGCCATAAGGAACTGTAAGTCAATTAAACCTCTTTCCTTATAAATTACCCAGTCTCAAATATGTCTTTATTAGCCGGGTGAGAACAGACTAATACATCCTGTCACATGGGGAGATTCTACTAGCAAGAGTCTCAGACTGACCTCAAGTCTAACAGAGAGAGTTGAAACGTCACCAATTTCTGCTAACAGAGTCTATCTACAACACAAGAACAATCCTCACATATGTACAGTATGGAAAGGATTACTCCTGATCACCTTAATAAATATATTCTTTTTCATGCATTCATTTTTGAACTACAAAGATTAGCAGTGTCTTCCTAAAGTGCCTTTGAAATTTTAAAATACTTAAACATCATTCAGTTGGAAATGGAAGTTCTATGTACTAAACTTTTCTGGTAATAAGCAATATATTTTCTTCTCAAAGCTAGTAGGGATTTTAACTCCACCAACCATAGAACATGGTTTACATTATGGTCTAGAGCAACCATCTTTCCTTTGGCATAGGTTCTGAATGCATTGCCTGAATTTGCATGATATAGCTCTCTTGAGCTTTGAAAGTTAATAAATAATGAATTCCAGTGTCCTATTATACAGTGAACCTATTATTATTGTAAAAAGTAAAGACACTACAATTATAGAAAATAAAGGCTTGGAAAACAATTTGGGGATAATCCAACAAAATCAGAGAAGGGAGAAAAGACATCTAACATGTTTACTTCTATGAAAAAAGCAGAGTGGAATTTAATTGTATATCTGAAAAGAGAGGAAAAGTATTTAATTTATCTTGAATCTGCCTATCAGCACATTTTTTAACAAATTTGATCGTTTATAATATAAAATCATTTATTAACCTCTATTATTTATGTAAGTCGATTATATTTGCCTTGAGAACTGGGCATATCTTTTTTTTCTCGGTATAAGGGCCCAATGCCATGTACATACACACAATACATCTTGCTGAATCTGTTGCATTTGTTTGAGTTGAATGAGACATTGTATAGCTTTCATCTAGTTCACAAATGATGATAATGCTAGCTAAAAAGAGTGAACAAGATTTTGAGAATTTGTTCGTGAAAAGAGAGAGAGATTGAAAGAAAATGACTAGCCAGTTAAGCTTTAAGCTGAGAGAACCTCAGTAAAAGAATTCATGCAGGTTTATTTGGTATTGACATATACATGTATTTCCCTCTCAGCTGGAATGACTCCAAAAGGGTTGTCATGGTTGGTTGAGTAAATAATACATGCTTTAAAAACAATTATAAATCTGTATTCACCTGATGGACTTTGTATTCATTCCAGTCAATTGGGCATATAATACTCGTTTAAAAAATAAGTACATATAATGCATTAAAAACTGCTTAAACGCCCATTTAACCGGAGGGGCCAAAACAGCTCTAAAATGGAGCATGTGATTAACGCTAATGGAAGTTATGCATATGTAATGAAAGGAGAACCCCAAACCCTTTTAAAGAGGGCTATGACAGGAGAATGACAGCTGGGAAACACCACGATTTAAGGCTTCTATTGCTTTGTAAAGCAGTCTCTGCCCTCATAGCAACCAACAACTCCCAGAGTGGTGAATCTTGGGGTCCAAGGCAATAAATGTACCGATATTTAAGGTAAAACAATGCTAAGGGGAATGGCAGTAACAGCCTGATGATAAATAATGCAGCGCTGTAATTGGATTGCATCTCCGTACTTAAACAGCTATTCACTGATGATGGCTCCCATCCCACTCAAAGGTCTTACCCAAGATTCCTTCTTTATAATGTCAAACACAAGAAGGACATATTTTATGTTTTTAATGAGTGCAATTCAGAAATAATCTCACAATATTTTAGGTTCCCAATATTTTCCTTTTATAAAGGATGAAGGAAATAAGCAACACTTGGCATAAAAGAATAGAATTCTGGCTTATTTCTCTTTTGATCAGAGTTTCAAGAAAGTATTTTTCAATTGTTCACATAGATGGTGAGATTTAGGAAGCAAATAAAAGTCTGCCTGTCAACCAAATTGTTTCTCCATTAACCCTCCCCGCAATGCCCACCCCCACCAAAAAAAAAAAAAAAAAAGTTTGAAATTATCGATAGAAGTGCTTTGTAGGGGGTTGGGGTCAGATGATAGAAACTCACTGCTGAAAATGCAAATACATTACCTCGACAAAATATGCATCAATTCATGAGTGCTCCCCTGCCCATAAATTAACTTTGCAGGTGAACTCTTCATGACCTAGGGAAACTGGTCCTGTATGACAACAAGGCACAGAAAAGAGCAGTTCCGTTGGAACAAAAGGAACAAGGAATATATATTGTACTTTGAGGTAACACAAAAGAATAGACTATAAGTAATCAATGGGAAGAAGGAAAGCACTGGGTTGTCTCAAGGACTCCTGAAAACAGACCTCCATGCTCTCACCCATTACTTTGCTGATCTCTTTCAAAGTAAGATCACACTGGTAACTACTAGAGTTCCACCTCAAGTCTCAGTCTCTCAGTGTTAATTGCAGTAGTTTGAATGTTGCTATGATGTGAGTATCTTGAGGGCAGGGACTTTGATGTGTAGAGCATCTTAGGTGGTGGTGGTGGTGGTAGTAGTAGTAGTAGTAGTAGTAGTAGTAGTATACAGGTATAATTAGTAGTACCAAGAAGAATATCTGAAATGTAAGAGATGCTCACTATGTATCTGTTGAATGAATGGAGTGAATAAATAAGTAAATATAATAAAGTTTTCCACGAGCACAGGATTAGAAATTAATTTCAAAGTCAAATGATGAGCTGGCTTCCTAGTTCATCTTCTAAGGCATAATGAAGACAATTTTACCTCTAAATAGATGATTTGACTAAGTCAAAGCTTCCACATACAAAAAGGGAAACATATAGTAGAAAGTGAGTAAACCAGCTAGCAGCAAGAAGGGAAAAGAGAAGACCAAAAGGAAACAAAAAACCCTAAGAATGTCTTACAGTGCCATTGACAACATAGAAATGACCCGTAAAACACAAGTCCCTTAGAGTTCCTTGAATCCAAGTCTGTTCTCTGCAAAGAGTGGCAGAGTATATTTACTAGTTTTGTATTCCCATGAGATAAATGCTGCCTTCCTAACTGTCAAATATAGTCTTAAAATAAATCCCTATCATCTGACCCTGGGCAAACTCAAGGTCTCAGTCCTCTGAGAGTCACAAAACACTGAGTCCCATGCAGAGGGAAGAAGTGTTTCCTTCCAAACTCTTTGCCCACGTTATCACCTAGGTGCAGTGCAGCCTGGAAGAATCCCACCACTTCTGCCTCTTTCTCTACAGTCGTCTAAAGCTAGGCCCCAAAATATGAGTTGGCAGTGGGTTGGAAAGGTGATTACATTTTATCTCCCATCCTGCACTATCCTTCCTACATCCTACACCAAATCTCTCCTCTCTAGTGATAAAATAAAACTCTCAAATGAAAGGAAACAAACCAATACTATGGAAGTGGATGGTCAGGGGAAGCACAGTCATCTAAGAGTAACCTGCCAAAAATTCCTACTCTACCTGTGTTATTTCATGTAGTTCTCACCACCTCCCTATGAAGGTATCTTCATCTTTGATATGTGGAAACTGAGGCTAACTTGAGAGATTAAGTAACTTGCCCAAGAAAGTATTATCTCCCATGAGTTAGCACTAGAAACCCAAGGTTCAACCAGAAAGACATAGCTCTTGCCTTCATGAAGCATATTAAGTAGACAAATGGAAAAGTAAACAAGAAATTCAATTAAATATGCTATAGAAGTACCTAAGAGAACTTCTAACTCACACCTGGAGAGGCAGATAAAGTATTGGCTACACTGAGATCTAAAAGATCAACTGGATTAAGCCAAGAAAAGAGGCAGTGAAGACAATCCATGTGGAAGAAATGACATATACAAAAGAGCAGATATATACAACCTAGAAAAACTGCAAGGATGAAAAGTTGCAAAAAGTGCTACTGAAGAAATC